ACCATGGCGGCCCGCGCCACTCGGCGTTTCGGCTTTTGCAACGTCAGGATGGTAAGCCCCCGTGTGGTTTTAAGCTGCGAAGGGCTTCAAAGCGCCCCCTTGTGAGCAAGACACCAGCAACATGACAGGATTGGGAGCTTGGCGAGATAACACGTTTTGCAGCCAAACCGCGGAATAGGCTTGTTTTCGGCCTGTTCCCGTCAGTGTGGCCTCGGGTCGTGGTCGGAAGTTGGTCGTAGGTGGGTCGGAGGGTAGTCGGTTGGAGGGTAGTTGGAGGGTGGTCAGAAGTGGGTCGGTGGTGATTGCTTCGAGGTTGCAGCCTGATGTTGGAGGTAATGCGTTTCCATTTGTTGGAGTTCCCCCCGTCATTTCGGTTGACAGCCTATCTGATCAGCAGCCCGTCCAAATTGGCCGTTGACAAAAAATGAAACATGAATATCCAGCAGACTTTGGTTTCCTCCAGGGGATGCCAGGGGCATTCTAACCCAACATATCCGTCGTGTGGTTGCTTTAAACAGGAAGTCAAACGAGGAAATCCTCCCAATTTTTGATGGTTCGCCAATTTTGACAAACCTTGACAGACGATGTCAAGATCATGTGAGCGTCAACAACATCGTGCTTTTGCGTTCCCCCCCCACATAGAAATGCAAAGCGGCTGGATGCAAAGCGGCAGGCTGTTGTCAGTCAGCACCATTTGGCAAAAGCGGTGAGCTTTTGGAACAGTCAATGGCACCGGAAACGAAACCATTCGAACTATATGAACTGAAACCAGTGGAATCCATGTCTTTTCAATCAAGCTCAAATCGAAATGGACACCCATTTTGACGGGTAGTCTCGCTAAATCCGCTCTATTCACACTGGTGGTGGCGGTGGCGGTGGCGGTGGCGGTGGCGGTGGCGGTGGCGGCGGCGGCGGCGGTGGCGGTGGCGGTGGCGGTGGCGGTGGCGGTGGCGGTGGCGGTGGTGGTGGTGGTGGTGGTGGTGTTTGTGTCGGCGAGCTGTGTGGCGGGGTGCTGGCTTCTTTGGTCTCCCCCTCCCTTCTCCCTTTCTCTTATTTTCTCTCTTTTCCCTTCTTTATTGTTTTTTCTTGTTGTTTTTTACTTCTTCCTTCTAGCGGGGGCTGTGATGTTGATGTTTGGGTGCCTTTCGCCAATGTGAAGGCCGAAAAAGCTTATGCCTCACGGTCTCTTTCTTCTTTTTTTTTTATCTCTCTCTCTCTCTCTCTCTCTGTTACTCTTTCCACAGTAACCGAGTCCCTAGAGGTCCCAGTCCCTTTGAGAAGCGGTCCCTTTGAGACAGACCCCGACACGCGCCATGTCTCAAATGACTGTGAGGAGAGCAGCGTCACGGGACTTAGCAGCACCAAGTTTTGGGAGCCTCGGCTTGCACCTGTGGGTCACCTTGTGTTTACGTGTTTGTGTGTTTGCTTGCTTTGGCTCGGCGTGGCTTTGTTTGGTTCGGCTGGGCTTTGGTTGATACTCGGATTTTTCAGGAGGTATCTGGAGCACACTCCGTCGTGCCATCCTGACGAGGTACGCGTTGACTCCCTTCGTTTCATGCTTTGCTTGGATCGACCTGTCCATCTACTCTTGGGTGATCAGCCCAGTTTTGTCCCAGTCGCCCTGATCCGATGAGCTTCACAGGGTACCAAAGTTTGAAAGGGGTTTCAAGTCGATGTGACCTTACGATGCCGAAAACCAATTCGAATTGACCCGTTTGGCCTCGAGTCTCATGACCTGTTCACCTTCTCCCTCACATTAAGGTCATCCAATTGATAAGTCGGAGCGAATTTGACCTTCCACTTGATAGGATTTAATCATTTGATTGGTCGCGAAGTTGAAAGTGCCTCGACTTTCTCGCTTTGACAACCGGAAAGCTCAGGGACCTGTGCGGCGGGAACGAATTGGTTCGATCGCGCACCATTGGATAGAACCTTCAACGTGTAGAGTCCGAAAGGACGCCAGTTGTTCGAGCCCATTTAAGGGGCCCAACAATCCACGATGGGCCCTCGTGCTTAGATGCCAATGCGCGGTGTACCTGTGCACCACCTACTTCACAGAGGTCGGGGCGTGTTGGGAAGACAGCGGATGGTTGCATGGGTTTGGTTTGAAACTTCACCTTTATCCCATTGCAAATAAACACAGAGCCCAGAAAGGGGGCGTACCCCGACAAGGAGTGACCTCTCCAACATTCACGGTTTGTTGGGCTCGATGGTAATCTGAAGGAGCGTACATCAGCAGAGCAGAGTGCGGTCTTTGTTTGTTCTTGCTCCTGGACTTTACCTCAGTTTGTTGCGTGGAAACATGTGGACACATACCAAAACGGGCGCAAATACCCGCAAAACGAGCGCAAATACCGGCAAACGAGCGCACATCTGAAACGTGCAACAAGTCGGTGAAGCCCTTGTTGGATCATTGGATCAAAATAGTTGTCCCGCGCCTTTTTGTTTGTCACACACATTTGTGTAACCATGGAAGGTCCAGGTACTGCGGGTTTGATATACCAAACGCTATGTCCTTGGAATTCCTGGAAGACAGAAACTGCATGCCAGGCTGCTCTAAGCCATCAGGCCCGCAGAAGGACTTGGCTGCTACTTCTTCCCTGACATTGTGCGTTCTTCTCCATCGACCCACCCCAAATCAACACACACACACACACACATCCTTCCAGCTGATCTAACAGGCTCGGCTGTACCTTCAGAATCTACGCACATCGTGAGTGAAATGTGCTGTCTGAAACGCTTACCGTCAGTTTTTGAACTGCAATCTGGGGTTGTTTAGGTTACGAAATTGACGAAATGGGCCCCATTCATTGTGTTGGTTTCAGGATAGGCCAATATCCTTCTCTTGCTCAAGTTGTAGCGGTGGCTCCCGGATTGAGATTGACTGCCGATGCGGCTTTGTTTTGGTGTTCCTATATACTCACACATCTAACTTACATTTGACTTGGCACCAGCAGACTCGCAATATATGATGTGCAAGGGCAAAGACATCACCTTTGTATCATCAGAAGCTCAAAGCCCACAACATGCATGCCTGGGCCCGAGTAAGCTGTAAGCTGCGCATATTTTCACATCTTACCTTTCCCGGCGGCTCCCGACCCCCCCGGCCTCTCCCATTCCGGCCTCCCATTCCGGCCTCCCATTTCGGCCTCGCGTGAGGTGGGCAGCTGTTGGCGAGCCGCGGAAGTTTCCGAGCCTCAAAGCCGCTGGAGGAGCAGAGCCTGGAGATGTTCATCACCCACAGCCCCCCGGAAAAGCGGAGAAACTCCTTTCGGCGGTTCGGGCGACAGCTTGCCCTTGCCATCCCGGAAATGAGACGTTGACCAGAGGTTTTATAGCGGTTTAGGGTTGAACTTGACCAGGAGAAGGGTTGTCAAAATAGGGATTCGGACCAGTAACGGGTAGTTTCCTCTTGGTTTCCATTTAACATTTAGAAACACTCCCGGCTAGTTGTTATTGGGGGGAATGTTGATATGAGCTCACCGTGGAGAACGAGCTCACGTATGAAGGCTGGTCAAGACGTCCGTGGAGCAAGAAGTCCTAAGGAGCACATTGGCCCAGTGGGGAGCAACGAACCAGCCCAAGTGCGCAGAACGTCGTCGAGTTTTTGTCGCAACCAGCTGGAACCATCCTGGTTGCTGACGCACCACCTGAGCCGCACCTGATTGGTTTTAAGCAGGAGTACCAAGCTCCCGCTTCCTTCGATCAAGGAATGGCCCTTTCCCTTGCTCTCTGCGCCTGTTGAGCTTGCTCCGGGCTGGCCAACGCGGACGTCGCTACATGTTCTTTACGCAGTGGCAGGAAGTGGCTGTCCTTTGCCTGACGCGCTCGCTTTGTGCGGCCAACAGGCCCAGGTGGTTTCGCTGAGAGTCTGGCAAGCCTACTCTTGCTGCAGTTCGTAGAGCGTTGCTCGTTTGTGAGTTATAGCATGTTCCTCAATTTGCCCAGAGATTAAACATAGTTTTGAACATAGTATCTTGTCTCATGATGAGGTAATTTGTCAACTTGCACCCCACAATCCAAATTTGATTGTTGTGGCCCTTATCCGTCCAAGCAGTGCCACGTTGCTTTGCGCATTCACTCTTGCTGACCAGCCCATACTGTTGCTGAGTTGTCACGGGCGAAGGGGCAGCATTGGATGGAGCCTGCCCCCTTTCCGTACTTGTTGTTAAGGGGTTCGCCCCGCCCTGAGAGATCCTATTGGAAGAACTTGCAGAGAAGCTTAGCGGGCCCTCATGTTGCGCCAAGCTTCCCAGCCCAAAGTCGTCCTGGCGACACTTGCGGAGTGACGCCTGCAATGGGAGGAGGGACTCTCCTGGTCGCTCCATCCACCCATCTATCCGTCCTTCCATCCGTCCATCCAATTTAGGCCGTTTTGGTTGTATGGAGGCACGCCCGATTCTGCGCAACCTATCCCAACGGGAGAACAGCCATGAAAAGTCAAGGCAAATCACCAGCCCGTTTGTTTACGTTTCTTCTGGAATAATTGTGTGTTTTTTTGCCCATGGAACACGTGCTCCGGGAGAACAAACCGGAGAAGTCCCTGCCTCAGACTGTTGCTTTTTTTCTGGGAGTGGGCGGGATGCTTGTGTCAGTGTTATTGTCTTGTTTGTGTGCGGTATTGCTTGGTGCTGGGAACGCGAAGCCGTGGGTGCATCGACTGCAAGTGGGGAATTTGGCTTCAAGGGCAGCAAGAACAACGGAGGTCACGACTTGGATGTACAAATCCTTCCCAATGAATCCTCTCACGGGAAGGGTTCCCTGGTCTCACTGCCCATCTCGATTCCACAACCTTCAAAGCAATGGACCCTTGAACGAACGCAACTGAACGAGATTAGCCCTTCGTCAAAGGCGCAAATTCAAGCAGATGTGTTTTGTGCGCACACCAGACATGGAGTGCCCTATACCCCGTACCCGACGTATTGCGGTGCCCCGAATTCGAATCAAGGTGCGTAAGCTGTTGGTTTTTTGGCCACGGACCCGTTCTTGCGAAAGACCAGGCTGGAACTCCTCCACGTGGTGCAAGGCTGTGGCGCTGGCGCCTCTCACGCAAGGGGGATGGGCAGGGCGACTTATGGCACTGGGCCAGCGCAGGGGTGCCCTAAATATGGCAAGCAAACCCGCGCCCAACAAGACGGGCGTCGCGTAACCAGTTTTTGTTTGACCAGCTTTGGTTGGAAAGGTTTCTTTTGTATTTCGTGCCTAGGCCTGGCACAGGGCTATTGGTTGGTTGGTTGGTTGGTTGGTTGGTTGGTTGGTTACTTGGGTGGGCGGCTGGCTGGCTGGCTGGCTGGCTGGCTGGCTGGCTGGCTGGCTGGCTGGCTGGCTGGTTGCTGGCTGGTTGCTGGCTGGCTGGCTGGCTGGCTGGCTGGCTGGCTGGCTGGCTGGCTGGCTGGCTGGCTGGCTGGCTGGTTGGTAGGTTGGCTGCGTCATTCATTCATTCATTCATTCATTCATTCATTCATTCATTCATTCATTCATTCATTCATTCATTCATTCATTCATTCATTCATTCATTCATTCATTCATTCATTCATTCATTCATTCATTCATTCATCGATTTATCGATGTATCGTTTTATTCAATTAGTCATTCAGTCTTTCATTCATGCATTCATTTTATTCATTGATTCATTTGTTTGTTGATTCATTCAGTCATTCGTTTATTCATTCAGTTAGTCAGGCAGTCAGTCCGTCAATCAGTCAGTCAGTCAGCCAGTCATGCATGATTTTATTCATTTGCGCCCCCCCCCCCCCACAACACCCCTGCTTTTGTATACGGCCGTTGTTCGGCTTTGCGAACCTCGTTTGGTAATCGGGCACTTTCTTCATTTGGTCTTTGTTTCTCTTTGAATGGCCCCGCATTTTTGAAGCGCTCGTTTTCAGCTTTGTAGCTGCAGTTCGTAAGCGCTTGCTTTCTCCATTTTCGTGTCTTTGTGTATGTTTTGAGGGGGGGAGACTTTGGCTCAGCTTCTTACAGCGCCTTAATTTTTAATCGTGCGCTTTCGTCATACGTGTCCTTGTTTGTTTTCAAGTGGAATACAGCCGCCCCCAACCCCCCTGCCTCTTTGTAGATTCGTAGCTTGGCTGTCTGAACCTCGTTCGTAGTCGCGCGCATTGCTTTTTATAGCGTCTATTTTGTTTCCTGGCCCAGCTTCTTTATAAGGCCGTTTCTTGGCTTTGTGACCCTTGCTTGCAATCGCGCGCAGGGGGCGGGGGGCGCTCCGCCTCTGGCTGTCTTTGCTTCCGCTCTTCGCTCCGCCTTTGGCTCTGCCGCTCCGGCGCTACCGGTGTGCGGCTTTGTGATCCTGGCTTGTGATCGCGCACTTTCTCCATGCCGATGAGGTTGAAAACGATGCTGGGGATGTTAAAAACGATGCCGGGGAGGTGCGGAACAAACCAAAGCAGCGCTATCCCCAAGCCACCCTAAACCAGCCTTAAACCCAGCCCAGACCAACCCCTACCCTGGTGACGCTGAGGAAATTGAAACCGGTGGGGATGTTGAAACGATGCCGGGCATGAACCTGCCCTAAACGGAACCTGAACCCACCTCAACCTACCCAAAGCGTACCACAAACCTTGCCGAGCCTACCTGAAACCTTTACCCTGAATTGTAGACTGACATACCGCTCTTTCGTGCGCGCCAGGGTTGGGCTAAGGCCAGGGCTACGCAAAAACAAACTCCTCAGCCAGCTTTGGTTTGAACCCATGTTTGGGTATGGCAAACACCCATATCACGTTAACGCGGATGGAGAGTGGCCTGAGCCACATTGTGTTCACTTCCATTCTGTTAAGATTTTGATTTCCCCTGTTGGTTTTAAAGGGAATCTATCACTACTGTTTCTTTTTTCCAGGGGACTGAAGCAAACGGAGGTTCATCATTGTTCTTTTGAGAAGAGAGATGTATCCAGGGGATCAGCGTCCCCGTTCCTCAGGTTTTCAGAAATCGGGCCCTTCAAGAAAGGAACCCCGGACGCGCGTTCAAAGATATCGGCTTCTCCTGACCTTTCTTGAGGGCAAAGAAGCTTCTTGGAGGCAAGCACATCCGTTGAGTGTGTTTGAGGCTTTGAACCTTTATGTGTCTTGCGTGCGGGATGTCAACGGTCACCCTTACCTTTAGACATGGAGTGTGTGATGTGTGTTTTAAGTTGGCTTTTGATGTTCGGGCTCCCAGCAACTTCGTTATGTACTTTCCTTCAAACATCATGTGTCCCCCAAGGGCCTCCCCAAGAGGGGCCTCCCCAGATTTGAGGAATTACGACCGAGTCCAACATTAAGCCTTATTAAGCCTTATTAAGCCTTATTAAGCCTTATTAAGCCTTATTAAGCCTTATTAAGCCTTATTAAGGCTTAATAAGGCTTAATAACGCTTAATAATTTGTTATTTAGATGAGAATGCTCAAAACGAACATGTTCTCATATTTTCAACAATCCTTCAAATCCGCCATCTCGAAAAACATCCAGCCTAGAACACATGCCCCAGGATTCTAGTCAAAGTACCATACTTCGAAAAGGGACCAAAACATCGTTTCTTTTTGAGAAGTAAAAGGGGTGGTAGGGGAGGGGAGGGGAGGGGGGGTAAGAGGGGGTGGGGAAGGGAGGGGGGGGGAGAGAGGGGAGGGAGGGGACGGGGAAGGGGGAGGAAGGGGGAAGGGGGGGCCAAAAGCGTGTCCCTGTGCAGGTTTTTTTTGGGGGGGCCTCCCCACCACATTAAGCCATATTAAGCCTTATTAAGCCTTGTTAAGCCTTATTAAGCCCTATTAAGCCTTATTAAGCCCTATTAAGCCTTATTAAGCCCTATTAAGCCTTATTAAAGCTAATTAAGGCTTAATAAGCTTTAATAGGCCCTGCTAGCAAACAGTCGTATTTTCCTACATTTTGGAACCCCTCCGAAAATCTTGCTTGATTTGGGAGACTGGGCTGCCCTCAACATTACACTGGTGATCTAAACCACCTCACTTGGGAATCGCAGCAGGTTTGGCTTCTCGCTCCTGATTTGCGGGCCCCACCTTTGCCGTTACCTTTGCACTTGGCGGAGTTGAGCAATTGCAGCTAGATTCGAGCAAAGTACCCCCAACAACGCTCACACATCATGAAAAACACAGAAAACCTGAACCAACATTAAACATGCAAGAAAACCAAATCTGGGGAGGCCCTCCCTGGGGAGGCCCTTCGGGGACACATGAAAACATGCAGTGTAGCGACCGTATTGCGTCTTGTGTGAAAAGGACCGGCCCAAACGTGAAACCGCAAACGCCTTTTGCTTGCTTAAACACCCAGACACTCCTGGGGCTTTCAACGGAACGACGCCCCGGATGTCTCAAGACTTGCTTGTTCGAAAGCCAAACTAAGTCGTTCGTTCGTCTGGGCAGGTGAAATTGATACCAGCGACCCTGCTCCTCCCTGTTCGTGGATGAAGAGTTGGGACTTCTGAAACGATCCAAATTCTGACTGGTACTGTGTCGGGCGTAATCTTTACCCAGTTTTTTGTCATTGCCTGGCTACCCGAGGCGTCCATTTTGAACGGCTGGCCAGCCATTGTGACCAGCTTCTCCGCGCAGCTCGTCGCCTCGGTGCTGGTGGTCGCAGGCAAGCGAGCAAGAGCGGGCTCGGAGACTGCCTGGGGATCTGGTGGTTTTGCATCCCCACGAGCTACGGATGGTAGTCAAACTTATGCTTGATTGGCAGAGGGAGGCCTTTGTCAGCGGGAAGGCAAACAAAAAAGCATGGACAAGAAGGATATGAATGGGAGCTATTCCTCCGACTGGAAAGGGGTTGCGTGCGCCTCTGGACCAAGCTTTCTTTGTATAGTCATTTTCTGGTTGACCCTTTTTGTCAGGGCCTTGCAACACTGAGACGCTGGTTCTCACAAACTTCGTGATCTGCCAACGCGTCACAGTCCAAATGCTAGGTCACTTTGGAATACTAGGGATGGTGAACCAACACATGATGGTGAATGTAGACAGTCGTTGCAAGGCTTATCACGACAACCGTGACGATGGAGGCTTTTTTAAAGGCCTTCTCACATGATATGTGTTCTCCTTCTGTCTCGCAGGCCTTGGGTTTCGGGCTTGCGCCAGCTTCAGCCAGGCAAGCTCCCGCTGATTGACGTGGCCCATTTATCTGCCAACGAGCAACCTGCCCAAATGCTTTTCTTGCTCCATTTGCGCTGGCTTGTTTCGTGCCTGTGCGCTCGATTGCGTGCAGCTTTGCTTCGACGCCCGCTGCAGTTTGCAAGAGACGCATAACCGTCCAACTTGCAGCAATAATGTATAGTGGTGCCGGTGGTGCTGGTGGCGGTTGAGGTAGTGGTTAGTGGTAGTGGTAGTGGCAGTGGCAGTGATAGTGGTAGTGGCACTCGTAGTGATAGTGGTAGAAGTAGTGGTAGTGGAAGTGGTGCTGCTGCTGTTGCTGCTGCTGCTGTTGTTGTTGTCGTTGTCGTCGTCGTGGTTGTTGCTGCTGCTGCTGCTGTTGTTGTTGTTGCTGCTGCTGCTGCTGCTGTTGTTGTTGTTGTTGTTGTTGTTGTTGTTGTTGTTGTTGTTGTTGTTGTTGTTGTCGTTGTCGTTGTCGTTGTCGTTGTCGTTGTCGTTGTCGTTGTCGTTGTCGTTGTCGTTGTCGTTGTCGTTGTCGTTGTCGTTGTCGTGTCGCGTTGTCGTTGTGGTCGTTGTTGTCGTTGTTGTTGTTGTTGTTGTTGTTGTTGTTGCTGTGCTGTGCTGTGCTGCTGCTGCTGTGCTGCTGTTGTTAGCTGCTTGCTGCTGCTGCTGCTGTGTTGTTGTTGTTGTTGTTGTTGTTGTTGCTTTGTTGTTGTTTGTTGTTGTTTGTTGTTGTTTGTTGTTGTTTTTGTTGTTGTTGTTGTTGTGTTGTTGTTGTTGTTGTTGTTGTTGTTGTTGTTGTTGTTGTTGTTGTTGTTGTTGTTGTTGTTGTTGTTGTTGTTTTTTGTTGTTGTTGTTGTTGTTGTTGTTGTTGTTGTTGTTGTTGTTGTTGTTGTTGTTGTTGTTGTTGTTGTTGTTGTTGTTGTTGTTGTTGTTGTTGTTGTTGTTGTTGTTGTTGTTGTTGTTGTTGTTGTTGTTGTTGTTGTTGTTGTTGTTGTTGTTGTTGTTGTTGTTGTTGTTGTTGTTGTTGTTGTTGTTGTTTTGTTGTTGTTGTTGTTGTTGTTGTTGTTGTTGTTGTTGTTGTTGTTGTTGGTTGTTGTTGTTGTTGTTGTTGTTGTTGTTGTTGTTGTTGTTGTTGTTGTTGTTGTTGTTGTTGTTGTTGTTGTTGTTGTTGTTGTTGTTGTTGTTGTTGTTGTTGTTGTTGTTGTTGTTGTTGTTGTTGTTGTTGTTGTTGTTGTTGTTGTTGTTGTTGTTGTTGTTGTTGTTGTTGTTGTTGTTGTTGTTGTTGTTGTTGTTGTTGTTGTTGTTGTTGTTGTTGTTGTTGTTGTTGGTTGTTGTTGTTGTTGTTGTTGTTGTTGTTGTTGT